CCAGATTGTTCAAAATAAACTTTTCTTTCTTCTGTTGAAAATAACTTATTTGAGTTTAAAACAACTTGAGAGAGTAAATGATTTACAAAATAGTAAAACCAACATGAAAAAGTATTGTGATAAAATCGGGAATCGTCATTTTCCTGCAAAAAAACAAAAACGTGATAAGATATTTTTACAATTAGGGATGCACCGATACCATCTTTTTTTTTTTAGAATCAATCCGATACCAAAAATTCTGAGTATCGACCGATATCGAATCACAATATCGCACACAATCTACTTGTACAGACTACTTCATTATAAAGAAAAACAAAAATTCAGCAGTAAAATTTAGTATAGAAAAATCATGAGTGCACAAGTATTGTATAAAATCTGATCATTTAGTGGGGAACAAATAAGAGACAATAAGTGTAACTCTAAATCTGGTAAAACATTACACATTGCTCTTTGTACTGTTGTAAAATATATTCACAAAAACCAAGATAAAAATCAAAAAGCTAAATTATATTAGATATAGTCTAGGCTACTATAAAATGTTTTAAATGTAGCTATAGCACAGCTGTTTAATGAGGCAGCAACATATGATAGATAGGACAGAACAAGAAAGGCTATTAATAATCTTTCATTGCCTGACCGTATTATGATAGGAAAGGCTCCAATACAGTGCGCCACAAAGCGCTCATGTGCGTCCCGAGCACAGAATGATGCGCTTGAAGAAACATGGAGTTCACACATCTATTTCTATTTTACATTATACTATATATTGGCTTCAGAACACTTATAATAGAGTGCATGCAAACTTTATGGTGCTTTAGAATGTTTTTGTGCCTTTTGTGGGGCTTAATAATAAAAATCAGATTTGGATCAGCCTCGTATGATTGAGACCCGATCCGGCAAAAATGGCAGTATCGGAGCAACATCCCTATTTGCAAATTGCAATAAAGCCCACCCCTAACACAAAGGATCATCAAATCTGTTTTACTGTTTGTCCTTCAGCGGTCAGATACTGGGCCGCAGATCCTTCGAGGTGCGAGTCTGTGCGTGCCCAGGCAGAGACAGGAAAACTGAAGAGAGCAACTTCAGGAAAGACCAGGAGACCAAAACCGTGAGCAAGACCCCCTCTACCACCAAACGAAGTACGTTTGCATGTGTATACGAATGCAATGCAGTCAGATTTCTCCTAGACCGCTGAATACAATATATCTTCAGAATGTTATAGTAATGTAAATCTGATTTGGCAGGTTTGATGAAAGAATCCTCTTCATCTACATCTCGGCCTGAAGGCAGTAAGAAGGCAAAGCTGAGCGCCAGCAGTGATGAAGAAATCTATACTCTGCAGGTGATTGCACACTTTCTGTTTTTTTTTTTTTTTTTATTTTTTTTTATCATTTTCATGGAGATTATTGTGGGCTTTATTGAGCGGTTCATTCAGGGTTGCTGTGGGTCCTTAAAAAGTCTTAAAGCAGGGTTTCTCAAACTCGGTCCTGCAGAGTTTAGCTCCAACCCTGATCAAACACACTTACCTGTGACTTTCTAGTCATCCAGGACAGCGGCCCTCCAGGACCAAGTTTGAGAAACCCTGTCTTAAAGGCACAATATGTATGAATTTGTATTGAAATATCACAAAACACTAGAACAGTGTTAAATATTTTGACTTTTGTACCTGCATTATCCCATATGTCTCTAAGTATGTGTGTAATGACCCGTATCATTGCGTCGTCTATGAATATCAATGGATCCCTTTATCAAGAGAACTTATCGTTATATACTGTTGTGTAAAGGCGAAAGGTTGTAACTTTGTTTTTGTTAAAAAATTAGTTCTATTTTTGACACATTTAAGACCTCCTTTATCGTGTGGATAAGTATCTTGAGTCATTTTTGTTGTTGTTTTTTTCGAGAAAATAATAGGTTGTCTTAACAGTAACTTAAGACAGTAAAGCACTTTGAATTACCGCTGTTTTAAATGTGCTTTATAAATAAACTTGCCATGCCTTGCCTAGTTTGCACTAATCCAGCTTATACTTTACTTTACTTGGCATTGTGTATTACAAATATTGTTGGATAAGAGGCTAAACAAAAGCGTTGTGGTTTATTTGTATGCATGACCTCTTCACACAGGTGAGGGGTAAGGAGAGATTTGAAATGTTAAAGAAGATTAACGATGGGTTAGAACTCTCCGACGTCGTGCCTCCATGTGACGTAGACAAGTACCGGCAGAAAATGTAAGTCTCATTTCATCAACTGCATCTTTTTCTGTCTTGTAATCTACTTTTACAGCATTTACACAACGACTATCAACAGAGAGCTCATTTATACATCCCTAACATTCTTTTCATTTTTAATTCAGCCTGTCCAAAACCAAGAAAGAAAAAGATGGCCAAACACCTGAGCCCAAAAGAGGGAAAAAACTGATGGTAAAGGATGAAAAGAGCGATTCTGATTAGGATGGTGGGATGCTGAAATAAAAAGAAAGGGAGAGTTTTGGGGGTTTTTTGCCTTTTGTTAAGCCTTTATTTGACCAAAACAGCTCGTCATAGAGGGAGCATTTGTTGAATTGCAGACCCACGTGATCCCTCAGTCCTGTATGTCATATTTCATCTTGTTTACTCCACGGGGACATGTGTTAGTAAGCTGATCCAGAGAAGTTCTGTATGAGTAAGGCTAGTATCAGCTGGGTACTGTAGGGTGTGTTGTGCTCTATCAGCATTAGAGAAGCAATACTGGCCCATCATTTTGCAGACCTGATAAATGAATGTCAAGCAATGAGGCTTAACTATGTGTAGGATTTTTTCCTCTGTTGTGGGCCAGTGCAGGTCACTTGCCTCCTAACTCATAGTTTCTGCAATCGGGTTGAAAGGGAGTTTGTCTCTGAATTGCTAGATGGCCAAATTGAGTTATACCAGTATTTTGTGACTTGTTGTATTTTGTAACCAGCTTTTTCTAAGAACAGAGGTATGAATAATAGATGATATGAGCAGTGCTGGTTACAAGCCAAAATTTGTAATAAAAATAACAAAAAAAAGCAACACTGTATTTTGTATTTTGAATCCTTTTTATTAAGTTCCTTTTTTTCATCTTTATATCTTAATGTATGAAAAGAATACATCATCTTTGACTTCTCTTGCTCAAGGAGAAGAACGTGGCTCTAACAAACCTTTAAATTGATCTGTTATGGTCTGAAGATTTTGTGCAACCATTTACTGCCATTTGAACAACTTCTTGATTTACTCCTGTTATTTGTTGTTTTAAGTAATGTGGCAAAGATAAAAACTCATAACTGGCCAGTCAGATTTACCATGAAATAACCGTTGATGTGTTGTGTAAGTGGTTATGGGTTGAATGCCTAAAAAAGAACAAATACTCAGGGCATGTTTGAGTCCCTCCTGGTAATCTTGATAAAACTTTAAACTGAATTTACTAGAGACTTTTATGCTGTTTTTTTTTTTTCTTCTTTCTTTTATGTTATTGTACACGCATAGTTGCCTTTATAGATATAGATATACATATGCATTTATTTGTATCTGGGGACTTTTTTTTAAAATACACGCTTTTAAAAAAAATGTATTGTCTTGATTTCTTTTTTGATAGAGCATTTACGTTTATGCAGTTAAGTTACCATAAATTGCATGCATGTGAGATTCATAATATGCAACACAGTTACATAACATTGCGTTAGGGGATAGGACTGCCAATTTGGAGCTTGTAGACAGTCTCATTGAATTCTATTTTAATGAGTCTCAAAGTATTCATTGTTGACATTCCAAGCAGTGAGTAATATTGGATTCACAAAAAAAAAAACTAATTTAATAGATTGGTTCCCACCCACTATCCAAGTGTACACTCTTAAGTGGTGCCATATTAAGTAAATGTAAATGATTGTTTATAATATAAGAATTGTGAGCTAGAATCATTTTTTTTTTTAATGAATTATAAAAAAAGAAAAACATTTTTAAATTGTACTACCACTCTTGATTCGGATGAAATGGCGCACATCATTCAGAGGCAAACCTACCAAACGACAAGAAATTTTGATTCATCAAATGATTGTCCGGTGTGCTTCATAAGGACTAATGCTGCGTTCATGTGCTATGGCAATTATGGTAAATACCAAAAGCTGACGTGGAAAATGCACACAAACACCCCCTCATGTGGTATTTTCTACTGGGCAACTAGAATATTTTGATGGACGAGTTGCCGAGATGAGATAACCTTTGACCATTTCAAAATGACGGAGAGCACAGCGAGAGTCGTTAACATAGGGTTGTGAATGGTAAAAATATATACTATACATGATCTAGAAAATATATAGCATATTATTTACCTTTTGAGTTTTGATAAATCATATTCTTGCTGTGGCAGATGACTTAAGCAATCTAAAATAGTTTTAGCTAAATAACAGGTCTGGATCTCCATCTTTTTACCACATTACGACAACAAAAACACTTGAACAGAACACACTGGTAAATACCAGTTCACAAGTGGAAAATATCCTATTTTCCATAGCACGTGTCGTGAACGCAGCATAACTTACTTGTGAGCACAACGTTCAAACTTCACTCAACTATGTACATATAAGACAGTAGAACAATCGTAATTTCATAATTTTCCATTAAGAAAATCCTCATAACTTGTTTAATTTATGGTGCGTTCACGTGCTATGGTAATTATGGCAAATACCAAAACCCGACGTGGAAAGTGTTTATGAACACCCCCTCATATGGTATTTTCCCCTGGGCAGCTCATAGAATATTTTTGATGTATGAATTGCCAAGATGAGATAACCTTTGACCTTTTCAAAATGGCTGAGAGCAACGCGAGAGACGTGAATGGTAAAAAAAAATGTACTATTTAGGATCTAGAAAGTATACAGCATATTAATTACCGTTTGAGTTTTGATAAATCATTATCTTGCTAAGCAGATGACTTAAGCAATCTAAAATAGTTTTAGCTAAAAAAAAACAGGTCTGGATCTCCATCTTTTTACCACATTACGACAACAAAAGCACTTGAACGCAACACACTGGTAAATACCAGTTCACCATAGCACGTGAACGCACCATAACAACCAAAACAACTTCACGGGATCTCATCCTGATATGACAGATGATCCCCATGACTGGCAGCTGTATTTGTATGCATGTCCCACCTGCTGCCCTCATTAGCCCTATGAGGCCATTTGTCATGTTACAAGGACTGTAGACCTATAGAGACGTCGAAAGAGGATGTTTCTGAATTGACTGTGGAGGACAGTGTAATAAGCGTACGTCCATCCAGTGGTGCGAAAAGTGGATACAACGTTTCCCTGAAATTTGCAGTAAATGTGAAGATATGTGAGCGTGTCTCTGCATTGTAGAAAGACAGCTGCCCTTCCTCATAATCCAGGTAGATTCCCACCTTTCTGGGAACAAGCGTAAGAGGTAGCTCAGTCTCCGGCTTGGTGCATGCATAAAACTGCCGCGTGCTTCTCCATATAGTCCAGAAGCCCTCACAGGGATTCATGGGACATCGGCCTTGCCTTTTGGAGGAGGAAGTGGTCACTCCGATGCGCCAGTAGCCTTTGTTGGCAATATCAACTTCCCAATAGTAGCGACCGGAAGTAAGCCCTTCCCTGCCCAGAACGCACGGCCAGCTGTCAAAGCGCTGGTTACTGAATGACACTTCGGTTTGACTCAGAGCTTCCTGTACCTTCTTTTTGTCATCTGAGAGCTGTAACCATGGGTGGTTAGTCATGGGGTCCAGTGTGATGTCCACTAAACAGAGGATATGATAAAGTGAGGAAATGTAAAGGCTTCCTTAAGCCCAAACTATCTTTTATTGGCAGATGAATCATAAAGTGATACCTGAAGCACTGCAGATCCATCTCCAAACTATGGAAAACAGTGATAAACATTACTACCACAGTGAAAGACATGTTAAATGCTTGCCACATTAAATTGTGTGCTGATTCTGAACAAGATGATAAATACATAAATCTGTACCTGAGTTTGGAATGTACTTTGGTGTCTCTGTCAAAACAATTAAACATTGAATTGTACTGCATAAATAATAAGTATATTATAGAATATAGAATATTCAATATCATTTACTCACTAAATTATTACTTTGGTCCTAAAAGGAATTTAATGTAAATTGCCAAATCTGTATTTTAATCTATTGATGGGTCTAAGTAAAAAATAAAAAAAACAATTACCTGTTTTCCAGGTATGATGTTTGCTTAGGAGCCATAGCTGAGGAACAATACCCTAAAAAATACATTATAAATATAATACATCTAAATATAGCCTACTGCTTATGAGTGTGTGTTATATACAAATGTATATGAATCTCTGTAACTGAACCTGAAATCTCTGACACTGAATCTCTCTAGAACGGAATCTCTTTCTTGAAAAGGAGACAGCAAACTGCCATAAAGGTTTAAGATGTTCGAAAACACAAATAACCAAAGCACAAATGCATTTTTACAGAATAAATACCGCAAAGCGGAAAAGGCTTCTTTGGGCATGGTGATGATCTGTAAACTGTGCCAAACTGTTTATATAAGCTGTGATAAAAGTATCTTCTGATACTGTTTGAATTGTCTGTTGCTTCAGTATATGGTGGCAAACTATGGACTCTTGTTAGATGTTTGTAGAAAAGTTTTTAATTTATTGGTCTCTTATCTAAACGTGTACCTGGCTGTCCTGCTTCAGTAGAGACCAAGTTATGAATTCCAGAAGAGGCAATAGAGTCAATATTTTCCTCTTCTTCAGTTCCAGCTGCTTCAGAAACTGGGCTAATTCGTGCCTCATCACACCACTGCACTGCACACAGGTATAATATACATGTTCAAAAAATACCGTACATACATTTTTACATTATCACATATGTCTCTTGGGGTCAAACTCGCTGATCTCACCTCTGACACAGTTTGTAGCTCTTTAGCCCATTCCATGATCTTCTGCTCCATGTGCTTGGCAGAATCAGCCTTGTTCTCGTTCTGCTCCCAGATCGCATCTCTTTCTTGTCGCCATGTGCTCTCACTAAACAACTACAGGTAGGAGAAAATAATTAACTGATACAATCTAAGATATGACCTTAATGAAAATAATTCAAGATGTTATTTATTGTTTTTCCAGAAGTTAAGTGACTGCCATGAGCAATTCGTAGTTTGAACACTAGGGGGTGCTTCATGAGATTTCTGCATTCGGCTTTTTTGAGTTTTTTTTTTTTAGGTATATTATGTATACTACACATACTTATTTTAAAATATAATGCATATGTAAAAAATATATACATAACTTATAGAATATAGAATTATCACAAATTCAATTTTGTTTTGTTCAACTCCATGCAATTTTTTCTATTTAAAAAATTAAAAATTTCAGTGAACATCTCATTTATGACCTTGTTAGACATAACTGATATCATGTCGTTTGTGTATAAATAAACTCACATTGTCAACTTTCTTGAACTCATGTGCCCACTCCAGGATGAGCTTATGGCAATGCTCCAGACTACGTGGCTCTGCATGCATACTCAGGTCTTTATCTGCATTGGCACCAAGCTAAAAAACAAATACACACACAGTCATTATTTATTGTGATATTTTAGATATACTGTAAGTGTAATCAAACACACACCCATTACAGTCCCCCCATTCCCTTTTCCCACTCTCCAGACCCCCGAAGCGTGATGCGATGGGAATCCAATTTCATAACACAGAAACCCTAACTCTCCATTCAATGGTGAGTTTCACCATCAGTTCAATACAACCATCATGACAGGTCTTATCAGTAGCTTTATGATACATGAACATCTATGGACTTAGCTTTGTCAACGGGTCATAAACACTTACTTTAAAAAATGTTGCCAAGCAACCTTTATAACATTAAAGGGGTCATATAATGCCATTTTCACACAAGTTTAGGACACCTAAATCTCCTCACAAAGGGTCCTTCCACAATTATATTAATGAAGGGTACATGTGATAGTCATGCTTGCACACCATGTCGTAATTACTGTAATTGCGAGATTTCAACTGCAAAATGTTAATTTTCTGAGAGCTTCTAATTGTACCATGTGACCGCTTTACCTGACTGCTGCAGATTCATTCATTGAGTGTTTCCATAATTTCCAGTCTGAAGACATGAAGAGCTCAGAACATCACGTGTTATCAGCTCGAAATTACAGTAATTTGACATGATGTAACATTTACACGTTACCTTGCAGACATGTTCCACCTGCTGTTTCCACTGAGTGATAAACTTCACACATTCCTGCAGGCTGCGGAGATCGTTCACGTTCTGTGTAGCAACAGAAAGATTGGTAGGTGTATCTTAGGTGAAAACATCTATTATTGTAATTTCTTTCTTTCTTACCTTTGGTCTGTGGGTCTGACTGCTCTGGCTAGGAACGGAGCTGTGAGCCTGAAGACTTTCATCAGGAAGAGCCCAGCGTACAGCTCCGATAGTGTTACTCAAACCAGCTTCAGGTGCCTCAAATCCTGTTATATACAAACAACAAAACATTCACTTTCTAGTTTTTAAACATTCATACATACTATAAGTCATAAGTGTTCACAGACAGGGTTTAGATTAAACCAGTATTAGGCCTAGATCAATTAGGACATTTAAGTAGGCTACACTGTAAAAAAAAAAAAAAAAACCGTAATTTTCACGGTAAAATATGGCAGCTGTGGTTGCCAGAACTTTATTGTCAAAAGTACGATAGCATTGTTGTTAGTTTTACAGACTTAACTTGAAATTTACAGTTATAGACCGTATTTCATTATCCGATATAATGTTAATTTACCATCTTATTGAAATATTGATATCTGTTATGTATTCTTGTAATACACTGACAACCAACAGTCATCACAGCAATCATGAGAGTCACATGATCAATCAAAGCTCATCACAAGCAGCTCTTCCACAAGAAGATTTACAATTCTATAAAGAAGCTGCACAGTGTCATTCATTCAAACAAAGACCATCATGGTACACAGATGAAATTAAAAAAATCCAATATACATTAATTTAACGACATTAAATGTAACAGATTAGAAAAAACAACAAGAAAACGATGAGGAAACTATTATTTTAACTAAAATACATAAATTGTGAAGTGTCACACAGGCAATTGTGGGAATGTCAATTTACGGGTTTTCACTGTAAATTAGTGAGAGTTGTTCTTTTTCACTTTCCAAAACTGTAAATGTAACAATATTTTACAGTAAAATTTTCAGTCTTTTACCGATAAAAATCACGATTATTTTGTTTACAGTGTAGCTTTTATAAGCGTGCCTTAGAAAAATAAAACATGGTGTGCATCTTGAGATAAAACAATGGCACTGACGTATTTTAAGATATACCAGTGCAAGTTGCTTTCTGTTAAAACAGCTCAATAATGCATTTTAGTCTGGTACTAGGTTTAAGCCTTGTCTGTGAAACCAGGGGATAATATCATTGTTGAAATCAACTTACGTTTGCCCTTCAGGATACTCTTCATGTTGGCTGATTTAAAAATCTGGTTTTCTCTACCTTATACAGAACACAAAGCTCATCAAACATCTGAATCAATCCAATAATCAGGATATATTTCATATGTATCATTTCTTATGTAATTTAATCATATTATTATAAATACTATTATTTAAACAAATTTCAAACACAAATATATCCCAAAAATAGGTGAAAGGAAAGACAGGTTTTACTTCCTGACTATTTAATATATCCAAAATATAGGTGAAAACACAGACAGATTTTACTTCCTGACTATTTAAACGAATTAACCAGACAATTGAATTGGAAAATCCAAAAAAGAGGCCTCTCTTTCTCATATTAAAATATTATGTTTAATTAAAAGGAAGTAAGTTTACATCCCTCACCTTCTCTATTGCAGGAACAGGCCAGCTCAGAAATTTGTGCTGCACACCACCAGAGCACAAGGACCCAGATTCTCTATCATGTCGTCTGTATAACTAGACAACAACCTTTGACTCCTCCAGCCACCCAAGTCATAGACACATGATATCTCTATCAACTGGTGTAAAATTTTAAAGGAGGAGCAGTGATAAGTGCTTTGTCATATGAGCTTATGTAATCAGTTTATTTAGGGTGAAAAATATGCTTTAGTTGTTAGGCTATATGGTCAAGTCTAGTCAATTCAAAGTCTAAATATTTTTTAAAAGAAACAGCATGAATGTGTTTGGTTTAAAGGCACAATATGTAGTTTTTTTCGCAGTTTCCAACAATAACAAAGGCGTAGTTTGATGGCACAGTGATGAGCTGAATGATGGGTCTTATAATGTTTATGGATGAGTGCAAATATTCATGTTTTTTAACATTACAGTGTTATGAAGCAGGTCGCGATGGCTAAAGAGACACATATCACACGTGAGTCCCGCGGATATAACTGCGAACTCTTGTGCTGGATTACTCACACATGTCAGTTTATTAGACTAATTAAACTTGTGAGGTAACGCAGCGCTGCTTCACTTGGTCTAACGTTATACTATCACACTAAACGGCATTTAAATGCGAGTTGAAAGTTATAATGTTATACTACGTGTTAGTTTGTTTGCTATACGAAACTAGCAGTAAGCTAGATCAACATGAAAATAACAAACTGACCATATTCTAACAATTGATCATGTTGAGCTAATGTTATATAATTTATTTGTTTTATACATTTGCTCACCTGTCTAATAAAGCTGTCAAGTCATGACTCGTGAAGCTCTGTCAAGTCCAAGTTAGTCGTGGACGTGGAGCTCTTGGCATCTCAAAAACACCACGCTGACATTCATCCTCAATTTATTTCTCCTTGTTTGTCCCAAAGTCTGCTTGCAATGGTCTATGTTTGAAAGAACGAACTGCGTGCCGCTAAATGTTACGCACTACGCAGATGTCCACATCTGTCGCCATTGTTACGTCATGGCTATGGCAATATGAACAGAAACCGAGGATAGCGCGTATATTGCGTCATTTTTTTCCTGGGATGGCCACTTATTTAAAATGGGAATTTCTCTGAAATAAAAAAAATCTTTGGAGACTTGAGGGATATTGTGAGTACACAACTGCAGGAAATATATCACACTGCACAAGTGATTTTTGGATATTTTATTACAAAGTTCTTACATATTGTACCTTTAAAATTGAACAAACTGACTGAGAAGTAAAGACAGCAAGTTTTAATACTTTTAAACTAAAACTGAAATGAATAAACTCAGCATTACTGTCAGAAGATTTAAACTTTCTGTGATTTTAGCAATTTCAGTTGTTTAAGTTGCAGTTTCATTTGAAATAATGGAGAAAACTCATATTATACTCATATGCTTAATATGCAGTTTCATATTAAACAACAACTGGCACAGAAACAGACATAATGAAATACTGTATGTCTTGCTCATTTTTCTCACCACACCCCGATGGTCGTCATTTCAAGATAACTACACGTTGTTCACATGAAACCACAAGTGGAAGTTCTCAAATGACTCAATATGTCTTTTATTATCTTACTGCAGATTTACAAAGGAAAATGTTTGTTACTCTGATCAGCCAGTCCTAAAATAGATATATTAAAATCATTTGAAGCATTCGCCTGTAAGATTAAATGCTTTGTAAGACATTAAGAGCATGCATAACAGTCAAAAAATAGTAAAGATAGTTTAATGTGTTCATTGATTCGTTAAGAGTAATGCGCTTTAGACCTGTTTTTAAATCTGTTTATCAATTCATTAAGAAGAATGTCATTTAGCTTTTGATTGTGAAAGTGTTATTGCTCAAGATAAAGGATGATCACACCGAAAGGCCATGTAGTGTCACATGGTTACATAAGCATTGGTACTGTTTGTGGTGTCTGTTTGTGCATGTATTTAATATTGGGCCAATTTGACGCTCAACATAACAAAAATAACAGACATCATGTTATTACTTATTTGGACTCCTTAAAATGACAAACATTTGGGTTGTATACATTTTATATTAAAGCAAATGATCTGCATGTGATAAAAAACTAATCAACAGTTCACCGTTTGTTTTATTTATGATTTTAATTTTACTTAAATAGGCAGTTCCTGAATAATTATTACAACTGTCCAAGCCTTCACAAAACCTGGGATCAAACAAGCAATCGTTTGGCTAATAGCAAAGGGTTTTAACAGGCAGGCTACACCACTGACGTGTGATAATACAAAATGAGGATCCGTTTCTACATACATCCGATATGTTGGTGTGTTTAACTCCAGCTCTTGAAGAACTGTTTGAAGAGGACAGATTCACGACCCTGAGGGAGAATTTCCACCTAAGGACATAAAGAAATGTGGATGACTGAAAGAAGAGATCATAGTTCTGTGCACATAAATGAAAATGAAACAAACCTGCGTTCTCATCCTGGGATAGTTCATTTCTGTAATAAACTCATCTGCCACCTTCATGGCAACTCTCTTCTCATCTAAACGGGCTCCATTCCCTGTGCGTCAATAAAGTAAGGCAATGATTAAAAAAGTGTGATTTTACTACACACGCAGATGAACAAATACACACAATCACCTTTCCAAATGTAGATCTTCCCATTAGAGCCATTGTCCAATATGAAGCAGTCATCTTTCTCCAGCAGCTCTTGGGTGAAAGGTCCTTTGTCACACAGTTTTGTCAAGGTCATTTGGCCTGTTGCGCTAGACACCTGAGACAGAATTATTCAGACATTTCTCTCCAATGTAAATTATTATTATCCCTAAAACATTCTTGGCCTTCGGGAAAATGCAATAGACGAAAAGTTTGAATACTGTAAATATAAAAGGTAATTTTGATACCAGCACATTACACTGTAAAGGAGACCCCGTTTACACCTGGTATTAAAATGCGATCTGTATCCAGATAAGTTATCCGGATAATAAGTACTGATTCCATTTACACCTGGCCACATAAATGTGTTTTTGCAAAGCGGATATAAATCCGATCTTCACCTCCTGCGTTATATGCAGATTATTGATTGCACGCCACAAAAGAACAGATCTGAGCGGCATTTTATTGATCATCAGCTAATTTTCAGAGAATCAATAAGAGAGAGTGGCAACACTGGTAAGATAATTTCGTTTCTTTACTTGAAATGTGTTAACTGACTATTCATTTATTTGACATGTTTGCACGTTGAATAGACGCTCAATGCTCATCTTGCGGTGATGCGTGTCGCATCTGAGGCTATAAATGACAATAGCCTATATAACACGCTCTCACTCGTTTATTAATTTGGAGGAGTAAAATATACATATGTGGTTTCAACAACCAGAATTGCGTTTACACCTAGTAAAGATGACACAATGCGAGCCAGACTACCTCCAGATGTGGTCAGGCAGATCCGATCGCGATCCGATCACAACGCGTTTACACCTTGCATTAACATGCGTTTTTTATTATCCGGATAACTTATCTGGATACAGATCGCATTTTAATACCAGGTGTAAACGGGGTCGGAGAGAGAGAACTGACCTTGTAAAGGCAAGCAGAATTAGAGAGGTCTGCTTCAGCATCTTCCTCTGTTGAGCTGTCCTTCAGAGCTGGGATTGGACCAAGAGCCTTTCAAATAAATTTCAGATGGTGTTAATGGTTCTAATATTCATAATCCATTTATAAATGTTTGCATTTATTAATAAATTATATATGACTTTTATATAATTAAGTAACGTTTAAAATGTGGATTTTAAATGAGCTAAGAATAATGTCTTATTCTTTGGTCTTTGTTTTGCCTTACCGGGATAGCTCACACAAAAATGATCCCATGATTTACTCAACCACAAGCCATAGGTGTATATGACTATCTTTTTTCAGATAAACACATAAACAAGTTATATTAAAAATATTATTGCTCTTCCAAAAAAGCACATCCATCCATCATAAAAGTAACCTAAATGACTCCAGGGGGTTAATAAAGGCCTTCTGAAGCAAAGTGATAGATTAAATTTCCATATTTTAAAACTACATAGACTCAAATAACTATAGCTTGTGGCAGATGGCCTACGCAAGTTAACCTACGCCAAAAGAGAAACCCCTGACACAATGTATGACGTAGGATGTAGGAGTATAGCGTACGCTACGGCACCTCTCGTGGTTCAAACAAATAGGACCAGCCAACAAACTCAAGCTGCTCTTCACTTGTATTGAAATCCTTCGAAATTTCCATTTAAAAATTCTAATTTTAGACTTCTAATTTGTTACTGGTTTTGTTTTACTCTCTGCACTTCCGTGTTTGTCAATACGTCATGCCTCAGGTCAGGAGTTACTCTTTTCCCATAAATCGATGCGTATAGGGCTGTCTGTCTGGCTTAAGTTTTAAATATGCATATTTTTCTTACAAAACCCCATCGCTTTGCTTCAGAAGGCCTTTATTAACCTCCTGGAGTCATATGGATTACTTTTATGATGGATGGATGTGCTTTTCTGGACTTCAAATTGAGGGCCACCATTCACTGCCATTATAAAGCTTGCAGAGCAATGACATTTTTTAATATAACTCCGATTGAGTTTGTCCGAAAGAAGATACTCATATACAGCTAGGATGGCTTGAGGGTAAATAAATGATGGGATAATTTTCATTTTTGGGTGAACTATCCCTTTAATGACAGCATTTCTTGAGCTTCATAAGGCTGAACTTGATGATCATGTTGTCCAACATGATTTGAGAATAATTCAAAGAGTATCTTCAATGGAATGGAGGTTTGTCACCTGAACCATCTCCAGCGTTTCCTCTCCCTCTGTCACATCAACGATGTGAGCTTTGCCATTCCTCTCCGTGTCTCTGATCAGCATTGCTATCTCACGCACCTTCTGTCGCTCAAACATGTTGGCTTTGGAACCACTCCATGCGACTATAGTCTGAGCATAAACACACATGATAATTGCAAATAAATAATTAGCCAACAAAAATAATAAATAATGGCACCACAATGAGAGATATTACAAAACCTTTTTTTTAACCTACGCATAAACTTATACATACACACCTCTCCCAAGTCCAATATGAAACAGTCTCCCTTGTTGAAGCTCCCCCAGCTAAGCTCCACCTCTCTTGCACGGATGTTTTTCTTTCCTTTGACTTGGTACAGATGTTTAACAGGGCCAATCCTAGACCTGGCACTCTTGAACCCAGACTCCACCCCACCCTCCTGAGACAGATAGAGAAACCAATGAGTCCATACTGGTCAAAATGTGTGGTTTCTTAGGGTTTTTTTTGAAAGAAGTCTCTTATACTTACTGCTGCATTTATTTGATCAAAACAGCTAAAAAATATTATTTCTAGTTAAAATAACAGTTTTCTCTTTGAATATATTTCAAAATGTAATTTATTCAGTAACGTTTCCTTTTACAGTACAGTACTTACGTGTCCTTCAGTGTACTTACCTAGAAAGTACTGGCTAATATAAGTTATGATATTATTAGTTATAAAATATAATATAAGTACATGGGTTAGGGCAGGGGTAGGTTCAGGGTTAGTACCTAATTATTACCCAGTAATTAATTACTATAATAAGTACATAGTATGTACATGGGTAATAGGACTGTAAAAGGAAGCGTTACCATTTATTCATATGATGACAAAGTCTATACTCCAGTTTTCAGAAATCATTCTCATAGGCAGATTTGGCATTAAAAAACATTTCTTATTTTATCAATGTTAAAACAGTTGTGCTGCTTAATCTTTTGTGAAACCATGATTTTTAAAGGCTTCTTTTGGAAATAAAAATGTCAATGACATTTATTTTAAAAGAAATTGTTTGTAACTAGGGCTGTCAAACGATTAATTGGGATTAATCGCATCCCAAATAAAAGTTTGTGTTTACATAATATATGTGGGTGCACTGTGTATAATTATTTTGTATTTATATAAATACACACACATGCATGAAAAAAATATTATTTACCTGTATAAAATATTTATATTTATATATAATATAAATTATATATAAATCTATATACAGTATGTACATGAAAATATTTCTTAAATATATACAAGCATGTGTGTGTATTTATATATATAAAATAATTATACACAGTGCACCCACATATATTATGTAAACACAAAGTTTTATTTTGGATGCGATTAATCACGATTAATCGTTTGACAGCCCTATTTGTAACAGAAATGTCCGTAAGACTTTTTATCCATTTAACGCATAATTGCTGAATAATTATATATATATGTTTTTGTTTTTTTGTTTTTCTCGCCTTGTAGCTGATTCCTTTCGGGAAGAGTCCCATGAACTCAGGTGACTCATAGCCTTGCACCTGTCGATGTTGTACTGGCTCTCCTCCAAAGAAGCAGTCCAGTTGAGTGGCAAGCATGGCACAAGCACCCTGTTCATCCCGGGATGACTTCTCACCTTGATCAGAGGAGGGAATGATAAAACTACAAGAACCTTTCACCAATGTACTTTTTTCCCCCTTCCTAGTTTAAGAAAAAAAAAATAGAGTCCTCAGCCTGCACCTAAGTTAAAACAATGTTTTGTATAAACTGCATCCGATGCATTTCATTCTACATTTAAAATGACACAAATAAACAGACACTACACACCCATCCACATGTGCAGGTCGCTTCCATCCTTTCCACGGTTGCTGAGCACAATGTACGCGTCTCCGTTGTAGAAGATTCCTCTCTGCGATGGGTCAAGGAGAACAGCCTTCATCTTCTCTACCCTCCAGACCCACAGCCCTGGCTCTCTCACTTCATGGGTAAACTGGCTCTGCGCTGCCCGTGGATTAAGCATCCTGATGAGGGGGGAGAGAAAGGGTAAAGAGTTTGTGTGTATGTGGAAGTTGGAGGCTGCCTTATGAGAAAGGCAACAAGTAAAGAGAGGAGGGGGTAAGATAAGAAAAGGGGGAATGAAGCGAGGAGAAGTGGATGAGAGAGAGAGAAGAGAACGCATGAGAAGAAAGAGCAATGGGAAAGAAGAAAATATCAGACATTAGTGAATAATGGACATTGTAGAAGCAATGCATTTGAGGCAGAGAACAGGATTTATGAGATATTTAAATGTGGAATTAGATATATTAGAACGCAAGAAAATGGTTTAGGGAAAGGGAAAATGGTAATAAAAAAACAGAAAATTGAAATTTGGAAATGATGTTGAGAGAAAGAGCAGCAGACAGGTATTATGAAGTTAGTCTGATCCAGACGGGTAGAGGCGGGGAACCTTTAAGGTCAGAGGGGTCAGATATGGAAGCAGAGCACAGGATTGCATGCTCCATTAGAGATGGACAATGGGAAGGCCGGTGGGAGGTGAGAGCAGAGAGATCAAATATAATAGAGCTGTAAAATGAGATGCAATTGTCCCACACAAATAATTCATAAGGCCAACTGTTGTGCAGCCATACAAGATACACGGCTTACATACACCCAGCCACCCTCACCAAAGACAGATAGACAGATAAACAGAGCAAGTTCTCCCATAGACAACGCATTTACAGTGATTACTTAAAGGGGACCTATTATGCAATTCACTTTTATATAGTTTTTTATATTGTTAAGTATGTGTCCACAATGTTATCGGATACCTTTATTTAAAGACCTGACAATGTCTATAGTCTCAAGTTGTTGGGTTAAACATGGATGTTTGGATATTACATTACATTTGGTATATTTTGAGGCCCGACGGTGTCCGGTCTCTTACTATATACTGGTTATGGCTAGTTCTGTAGGCTGTAGTTCTCAAGCCGCAGTTTCAACCAGCTACTCTGTGCGGAGTTTTGCATGGCGTCCCCACTGCGTATAGCTACGCAATACAAAGTGACCATTCTCGAAAGGGAAAGTATTCGATTACTAACGTACTAACTGAGAGTAGGGAACGAGTATTGCGTGGCTGGCCACACTGAGTAGCATGGTAGTATCACTTCAGTCGATGTAACCTGCTATAATGGCTATTTCGGGGGGGCTTTTATGGGCTCTGGCCACGCCCCTTGTGACGGGCGGGCTCTAACGTGTATGACATAATGATAGCTCTTTGGCGCGCCGCGCACACATTGGGTTGCAGTTGCTGCAGCACAGCCAATGAGTGAGTCAGGCACTCAATGTGCTAGCTAGCTTATCAGCTGCAAAAAGCATTTTACATTTTAAGCTTCAGAAGTTTGAGGAAAAGGAGTATCCCCACTCCGTATAGCTACACAACACTCGTTCCCTACTCTCACGGAACCGAGGTTACGTTAGTAACCGAGTACATTTTCAAGACTCTAAAGTTAATCGGCAAAGGAAGACCTAAACCAGAGCTTAATTTTGTGCAGAAAGCCTAAGTTTTGAAATCATTTCAACACCAGCAATTATAAGCAATACCCCTGGGTGACAGCATCAACCAAGAAGCTAAAGCTTAACTGCTGGAATTATTTGCTGTTTATGTAAGTTATTTAAAATAAGTTACGTGTCTGATTTTACAGTGAATTTGTAGGATACTGTACTGTATATTGCTTTCACTTTCATACACAGATCTAATTTGCACGCATGCAATTTCTTTACTTGCTGTTACGTTCACAGATGAGGCATGAAAGAGAACTTAGTTTAATACTTACGCAATATGCGGGCTGACAGCCAGTTCTATGAATTCACACAACAAATTTGCGTGATTTTTGCTAAATCGTACACATTTTACAAGTTGCCCAATTTATATGAATAAGTACGAATGACCTACCTCTGACATCGCCCCTAAACCTAGACCAGTTTTTACAAATTGGTCGTGAGATAGCGTTGGAAAAGCATAGAAGTTTAAACTGATGCATGCAGATAATAACTTGATGATGTCACGTGAGCGTGATCACAATAGAAATATTGATCAAAACCAAACAGATGTTTTGTCAGTTTTTGGCAGAGTATCCGAGCGAGGCAGGAGCTGTAAAGGCACAGCGCTATTCTGGATAGGGGGTGGGGAGCAGCAGCCCATTTGAATTTAAAGATATGCATGATTTAGCATGTTTTTGGTTCAACTCAAAAATGGCCATTAACAACATGGTATAATAATGATCTTTGGGCCATTTTGAGCAGAAACTTCACAGACACACCCTTTGACTGTTCTCACATGATCTGAACATTTACCCAATCACCATCTCTACAAAAACCATCTTGGGAATGAGATGACAATCTATGTTTCCTCTTGAATGATTATGAGTTTAAGCTTGAGCTTGTGTCATGAAGCAGGTAGCGAAGCGGTTGCACACATGATGTTTGCTGACACCTCCTTCTTTCACTTCCCTTTCACTTCAAATCTAGTATAAATTGTATAACAGAACTCCAAAAATAACTGTTATTTCAACTTCACCAGTGCCATTTTTTCCCCAATTTAGCTGGGTTGTGCACTTCTGAGAACTAAATTGAAAACGCTTTTTTTAAATTTTTTTTATTTAAGTTAAATTCCTGAATTAAAATCAAGGTAGCAAACAGGAGCAGGTCTGATTTTGCCGTCAGACGCTTTTCTTGGAACATATTTTAGTCCCAAAAAAATTTAGTCTCAACCACATACCTACCCCTAAATATCCCTACCCATTACTTGTCCCTAAAATCAGATTGAAATGATTGGTGAAAAACAATGATGTAGAAGTACCTAACCGTTGTAACCCTAAATTTGACATAAACTGTAAACTTGTCCCTCAAATCTGATTAGTTGATTGGAACGTTGTTGGAACGGCGCACTGAATTGAGATTTAAATGTGAATTTACAGAATTAGAATAATTCATCTGATGAGAGAAACTTTTAGCATTGACATCTTCTTACTTAAGACAAGTATTATATAGAAATTGTGAAATAATTTTCTTAATTCAAGTAATAACATTAATATAGAATATTTTTATAATATAACAAATGCAATCAATTATAAACAACGATAAATAAAATAAATATAATCTGAAATATGCATTAAAAATGATATAATATAAGGCCGATTCTATGTAGAGAGTGTGACATAATAATTACAGTTTTTTATTCTTATTTAAAGATATAAAAAATCCTACCTTAATGCAATAGTCTTGATGTCAGTCAGTCCAGCTCCAGATAGCTCTTAAATGTAACAGCTGCGAAACAAATGCCTCGACTGCATATTCAGTTGACTGGCTTCATGGCCAAACACAGTTATTGGAAGACAAAAGCATGTTAACCAAATAATTAGCCGCAGGGTGTATCGGGTCAACAGCATCTCACATCTGTTGGAAACACTCTGTATGCAAACACATCTCTTTTCACTACATAAGCAACATGTCCTTTTAACTGAGTCATGGTCGTGTAATTTATGGAAAGAGTGAAAGAAAGGGGGCAAGATGGGTAAAAAGAGAAAGTCACAAGGCCAATGTCTGAAAATGAACTGAAGCTTTATTTTTATCATGAACTTCAGTATTTTATGATTCACCTCATCCACAAATGTCATGTGAGCTTTTATACACTACAGATCACAGGCTTAGGATACATATCTGAGATCTGTCACCATAACAATGTGAAGTGAGAATTCTCATTCATAATGGAGTCAGTTTCCATCATTATTCATTATTATCTGTTAAATGGGTTTACACTGCGTTTTCAGTGTGAGTTTTGACAGGTCTTTTTTTACCGACACAAGCAAAACAATGTTACATGCTAATGTAGGCTGTTTGTGGCATTTAAGAAAGTGTGTGATGAAAGAACCACCAGTATACTCATATCTCTCTGATAATCATAATCATCTGGAGCTGGTTCTGTATTTTACAGAAAGAAAAACGTCCAGATTACATTCATTTTTATCTTTTCTTTCTTTTTTTGAAACTGCAAAGATTTCATAGCATTGGCTTGGAATGATAAATGATGACAGAATAAAAAAAATTGGGTGAACTAACCCTTTAAATTACGCATAGGTACAAGAAAAATACACCAACTTGCTTGCTCCAGTACCTTAAAAACATTATATATTCTTATACCATGCACAGTCAAGACAGTCAAACAACCTGTAGGCATAGGACAAGTGGAATGTAATAAAATGTATGTTATATTATGTAAACATATTTTAACCGTGTGTTGATCTGTGGTAATAAAGAGAAAAGACTCACTCCTATTTTAGAGAAAAAAAGAGGTTTCATTGATACATTTCTCTCTTTTACATGTCAATGACGGAGACAATAGGTTTCAGAAATGAACAGTGACATTTGATGACATCACTCTCCCATCAAATGTCTCAGGTTATGCCCACTATGCCTTTTTATTGTTTCAATTCAAAAGATAGATTTTTTTAAAGATATTTTTATGCTTATTTTCCCCAACGCAATGCTGAGTATTGTAAATAATATGTTGACTAAATGATACAAAATGCTAATAAAGCAAGAACATGGGTGCCATGGGTGCAGCTGCACATGGCACACTTGCAATTTGACTTGCATTTTTCTGTCACTTTACCCTCTTAACTGTCACCCCCATTTTTGAGAATAGGCATAAATGGCTGTATTCAAACCTAAATGGTTGTAATTCAAGAATGATTTGGAATATAGTCCCAAGGTCTTGTTTTAAAGAAGACACTCAGCAAATTATTGTTGAAGTGAAAGGACTTCAAAAAATTTAAGAATGAAAAAGTTATGGAAGATTATATATATATTATATATATATTCCCACATCCATTTAAAAAGTTACCTACAAATGCTTACCTTCATAATTTTACATAATTTTTTACTTTAATAAATTATATTTTCAAAGAATGATTTTGTCATAATGGCGCCCCCTACTGTTGGATTTTTGCGTCACCGTAGCCAAATCCAGTCAGTTCCTGTCCACAGACAGTAGATCCTGTTCCAACGTGAACGCGCCCTGCTCTGTTGACGTCAAGGTTGCAGCTGTTCGGTTCGGCGTGAATGTAATTTTACATGAGGATTCGGCCATTTCGACGGAACGACCTCGATGTAACGACGAAAGCGACGGATTATTTTTATTTTTGAAAGCATATACAGTTCAGTTTCGGTCAGATGTGGAACGACGTATAAAGGAAGACGTTTGTTAGCATTCACGGCTAAGCTTTTGTCGATGAGCTAAAACTGTTTTCCGTATCGTACAACCTTGGGTATGTCAAAACAACTCTGCCGGTGGTCAATTTTTTCGTAATTAAAAATATTTACGGAATTCTAGTTGATAACTAATGCTTGTGCTTGATGTTATTTAGACTGTGATAGATAATGGTTTCGATTTGTCGTAGTTTCGCATTAACGTTTAAAACGGAAGAGGTTGATTGAATAAATTAACTTTGAGGTTTGGTGTTCATTCAATTAATATGACCATGGAGCGATTATTTTAAAACTATAGTTGTTTTATATGTGTAATGTTACCAATTAAACGTGCTGTTACATTTGTTTCGAATTACCCTTCTGATTTGTGAAACTTACGGCCTTGTCTGCCCAGAGACACGCGTTCATGTTGCGTTAGGCCAAAGAATGTGGTGTCGTCGACCTCGTCTAAATTCGTTTAAATTTAACGTAAACAAAACATAATTTTGTTTTATTTCATTATGTTATAATGAACCTGCTAAAAACCGAGCACCTTAAGTTGCATTTTATTCATTCGGTCTTTATGCCCCTGGAACATGACTGACAGGGCAGAAGTATCATGGGATTAAAACGCATTCAGTAGTTTAATTCATTGTTTGGTCTGTAAAAATATCGAGCCCTATGTTGTAAATATTTAAAAGGTCTTGAAAATATAAATGAATAAATTAACAAAGACCTCAAACTATTATCTGGGTCAGTGTGTAGTATGTCCCTTTTGATCATTTAAATTCCAGAAAGATTGGCATCCATTTCTTCTGATATTAGATTACTTGACAGTACTAGATTTGTTATTCAAAGAATAATGCTGGAACTTGTTGGCATTATACTACTAGTTTTATTTTTAAATTCAGATTTTATAAGCTTCAGTCAAAATATTTCTGTTTTCCGCTTTATTTAGTTTTTTTATGCCAGTCCGATTCTGTCATTACTAGTGTACATAAACTGGAAGTGTAATATTTCTGTCTGTTTTCCCATTGAAGATAGGTGAAAAGCTGAAAAATGGTAAGACCACACTCAGGATCTCCTCGTTCCAAACACAGGTAGTAGTTCATTGCTGTAGATATATTTATATTTTATATAATTTTTAATTCTAATATGTCTACTTAATTATTAATATAATGGTGATTCAATTTCACATTTGTTTCTCATACAGGCCTTTCTCTGACAACAACAGAAGCATGAATCACGAAGGGCGATTTGGCCCCCCTTCAAGAAGCCAGAGAGGTTTCAGAGGACCTCCTGGAAAAGCCCCACCAAGTTGGAGAGATAACAACAGTACTGGACCACAGTCATACCCCAAAAGGCCCTCGCTCATGGGTGAACGCAGAGAGCGACCACACGGACAGTGGATGCAGAACCAGGATCACTTCCATCCTTATCCCAGCTCACAGGATTCACAGCGGGGCCGCAGGAGGCCTTCTCCACCCCGCTCAAGCCGCCCTCCCCCAGTCCAGCACAGGCAGTCTCCTCATGGACCTATACATGGACCGCCTAGCCACAGAGCACCACTCTTCCATGGAAATCACCCTAGCCACACATCTCCATCTCGCCATTTCCATGGCCCTCCATCAGAAAGGCGGGTTCCTTCACCGCATAATTCCTTCAGGGGCCCCCAGCGACGCCCAAGCCCTCAGGAGCATGACAGGAGCTGGTGCCGTGCACCTCGCGACAGGCCCTTGGGCCGACCAGCACTTGGTGGTCACCACTGGAATGGCCGAGGAGGTTATTCTCACCCTCCTGGTGGCGATTCAAGGCTCTCCGGCCCACCCTATAGAAAACCCAGAGAGTTTCATGGAAGGAGTTCATATCCAGAGAGGTACAAGAATGAAGCTGTGAAGGCTGGGTAAAGTAAATATACGGTTATGTGTTAGATTGCAAAGTCCAGTACACTGCAGGGTGGTGAGAGTAAATCCCAGCTTCCTTCAGCTTTCTGTCAGTGTAAAGTACCACAGGATCTAATGATAAAGCTCATAAAGTGAAAGTCTGTCTGGAGAAATTGTAAAACAATGTGAGGCTTTTTCACCTTTAAGTTTTACTGGCACAGAAGTTATGGCCTGGGGCTGGATCTAAATTGATAAAAAAAAATTAAGAGCTTCCACACAGCTCAAGCAGCACAAACTGGCATTATAACCCACATGTTTGTATTGTTTGTAATGGATATGTAGGTGGTCTGCAGAGAGAGATCAACGTGGGCCGCATGGAGAGGTTGGAAGAGAGTCTCGCCGCCCCAGCATGGAATGGGCACATGGAGGAGGGGGAAGTCCACACTCTCGGCCCCCTTACAGATCACCGGCACGAAGACTAGGCCCACCCCCATCTGGCTTCTCGCTCAGACCTTATCCACCTCTGCGACCTCAGGAAAGGCCCATTGGGCGGCCATTCAAGAGGAAGAATGAAGATTTCAGGCGTCCGCCCTCATCAAGTGGTTTTGAGCATGGGCCGCCGCCAAAGCGTTTCCGCAGGGAATTATCAGTGAGACCTCTTCCTCTCAGGGCTTTCGTGGTCGTGGTTTGTCCCTCAATGATAAGAGTCGACTGCTAAAAGCACGAAATTTTAGAGCAGAGTCAGTGGCCCGGTTCAAACTGCCCCCACCAAGAATCTTGGACAGAGTCCAGAAACCCAAGCCTCAGACAACTCCAAAGAATGGCAAAGATTCTTCAGGAGTGCCACCACGCAAGATACCACTCAAAAAGATGCCGTCATCCAGAGAGTCATCCCCCAACACTGACTCCAAGACCGCAGAGCCTGAGAGGGACTCGGAAACAAAGGTGGAATCCCGTCGCTCTGTGAGCGCACACAGGTATGGTATTACCCCTCACACTGTGGCAATGGGCGCGTGATGTTTAGAAGGTCAAGCTTCCTGTTTTTCAATGGCACAACTTTCATCAAAGGGGTATCACCTTGTCAGATGAGATGGAGGAGGAGAGAAAAAGAAAATCATGCCTGTTTTCCTCCTCATTTTTGTCAACAGTATGATGTTAAACCTGTCATTGTCCAGAATACCTCTGTCCTTGTCAAGAGAATATGAGATAAGTCTGAGCAAGTGGTCTTTCAAAAATTTCACAATCGCAGTCTTTTTTGTTCCAAAAGTCAAACGCCATGTGTCCCACAATGATGCATCCAGATCGACTTTAACCCAGAAGAGATGTTTAAAATGTCTTCCAGGGAGGGAAATGGTTTTTAACCCGTAATCTGTAAGTGTGTGCAGAAGGATGGTCTGTCCTGTTATACCTACAATGCTCTGCCTCATTATGCAACTAACTGCAGTAACATGAGCAGAATTATATCTTTCATGGCTTCGTCTCATGGACATGGGATAGGATGTCTTGGAAAATGGAAACACAAGGACATCTTCAATGGAGAAGAAACGGGCAAGCTTGATTTCAGAAGCTATGACATTGAGACACTGTTGATGTATCACGAGAAGTTGTTCCCTTAGAAGAATTTAGATGATTGGCTGGATGAAGAAACAGATTGACTCTTTAACTGTTTGAGTGGAAACCAGATTTGATTGCAAGAAGAAAAAGAACTCCATTGAATGAGTCACCATGTACCACCCCTTAATTGAATAATGTACGATTTGGTCAGCATCTAATCCCATGATAATGGTCAAAGGGTAAAACTCAACTCCAATAACCCCAGAAGTTCCTTGAAACTGCACCTGAAAAGAGGCTTCGGCGTCTGAGAACTACTGTAAGAAGGAAGTCTTGCGTGCACTTTCTTCCATGACAGCTCAACGAGATGGGAACAAAATGGATGTTCTCCCCTGCCACATCCCTACTCCATAACTGCAGTTCTCTGATGTAAGAAAGATTTATGGCCTTAGATGCCTTTTATATATTTGGCATTGCAGCACTGACATTGACAAGCAGGGATCATGTTACTCCACAACCAATCCACTGACTGAACTGGCAGCATGTCGGAGTTGTGCTGAAGTTATAAAACCTGATCCATATATGCCTACTGAAGCATGCTTACCAAAATGGCAACCATTAATTTGTAGTGACCCTCATTAGAAGTTCTGCAACTGAAGAATTGTCCCAGCAGTTTTAATTTTAAATGCCTACCTGTTAAGTGAAGATGAAAATGCACATGGAAGAGGTTGATGAATGTCTTTCCACAGACCATGTAGTTTGAAGGTTTTGCAAGACAACTGACCAACAAATTCTTGAGAATTCTTCAGTCCAGCATTCGGAAGATCCTTCTATCAACTTTACCTCAATGTCACTGCAGAATCCAGAGCCACAAACCAGCTTTTATACCATGAAATGTTTTCCTGCAAGAAGTGGTCTTCAAGTACATCTAATCCAGTGTGAAAGGATAGGTTAAGAGGATTGTGTCTGACATGTCAAGTCTGGATGAAAAGGAAGTGCTCAGCTCACCTGACAATCTGTTAACTTTTTGGAGCGTAACATGATTTCTACACGGCGTTCTCCAGGCCACTCATTCAGTCTGCCAATATCTGTTATTCACATTAGCGAAAGGAAGGCTGCTAAATGTCAAGGTGAATCAGGGAAAATTAATCTACCAATTCAAACTGAAGCATGGAGATGATGGGCTTGCTTTGCTGTAAGTACCCATGTAGTAATCCATCATTGGTCCTTCTGCATTTGCAACAATACAATTGGGTTGTTGAGGACTGTGAATGTTTGAGTAATTTAGTTTGAAATGCAACATTTTCCCTCCTCAGTTCACAAAGCACAAGTTTATTACACTTTGAAATCAGATAAAATTTTTGTGCATGCCTTCTGCTTTCTCGGAATATTTGATGATCCCATTTAATGTGACATTTTATTCCATGCTTAAGCGCCCATACGATATGGATCATTTGTTCACATGCCTCGTTGACTTTCTTTTCAGCTCCTCGCCAATAGACAGGCGGCTCTCACGTGACCTTGTTGTGGTTTCTCATTGGGAGGCAGGGCACAAACCCAGTGCTAGTTCTAAGAACAATGCACCTTGGAGGAATAAGGCACCCAAGAACAAGTCTGGTAAAAGTCTGGCACTACTGTCAACGTTTTGAATGATTTGCAAATAATTTATGCTGTTGCACTATGCTAGTATGAAATCTTTGCATGCAATTGAAGATTTTTGTTCTAAATGTTCTTCCTCTCCCAGAGGAATCAGAATCTCATGGAAATTTAACTCTGAATGAACGCTTCACCAAGCTACAAAGTCCTACAAGTTCTTCACAGGAACAGAAAGAAAGACGGTAAATGAACTTTATTTTTGGGGGATCATTACAAAACATTGTTTTCAGGTTAAAACAACTTTATATGCAATTTGGCTATTCATTTAAACAACTGCGTTTTGGTGGCCTGAAAACAGGTTTCAAAGTGGAGGTCTTTGAAAATGATGCATTATTGTCTGTGTAAACTACAAAAACACAAAACATACCTTGCATGCATAATACAGCGTTTGAGTTATATTTCAGTTTTTAGTATGTCGTGTAAACGTACCCTTAGTCATTTACAGCTGCTAAACTTTAACAAATGTTTCTGTAGGTCTTCTAGAAGTCCAGAAAAAACCCTGAGGAAGCCTGCTTCATTTCAGGTAAGGAAATTCTTAAAATGTAGATTTCAAAGTCTTGTTCTCATCATGGGTGCTTTGGAAATGAAAGCATTTCTTGTTTTACTCTAGTTTTAGATCTCTCTCTGACTCTTCCTTGTTAGTCATTTTTGTTATGGCTATTTGTAGTGAGACATTGTTCTTTACTTAGAGGCCCAATTTCCGCTCAACTGTTGGAATGAAGAGGGGACCAGCTCCTGATGGAGTTCTTAGGAAACCCTTAATGGTAGGTGATGCTTACTTGTATCAGTCTTAGTTCTAACGCTGAATAATAACTATAATGCATGATTAATTGTGTAGTCTTTGTAGTAGGCTTGATTTGAGTCATTTTAGCGGATGTGGTGTTTCCATTCACATTTTTTGTTCTCTAAGGGCACTTTAATTCCAAGACCACCCTTCAATCAGAAGCCTGTCTTCAAAAAGAGTCAAAGTATCATGTCAAAGTACAAGAACTTGCAGACGTTGCGGCATAAAGTCCCCCACCAGCGTCAAGCCACTAGCTATCGTCGATGGTAAACCAGAATGGTGAGTTTTACAGTCCACACACAAATTCATTTCAATTTGTGTTCAGTACTATCAAATCTTCTGCCATTTATGCTTGAAATCAAAGTAATATTCCAAGGCACTCGAATTGTGTATACAAAAGTTAAAAAGCCTTTATTAGATCTTGGCTTTTGTCCATAAAATTTGTGAAAGATACACCTACGTGTTACGGCTTATGCCTTCGTCAGGGTGTGTGTGTGCCATTTATATTCTATTATAACCGAAATTCCATCTGCTAATGTACTTTGTTTTTTCAATGTTATTTTTTTTAGATTGCATGTGCTGAAGCAAGTCGTCTACTGTAGAGACTCTCCGCGGAGTTCCCCAACCCTCTCACCTTCCCTTATCTCCTGCTGTACAACTGTTTGGTTTAATCTCTGTAAAAACGGCAAAGATCACCAAAGTATTTTTTTCTTCTTTAGCATTGTTTTTTGGAGTTGTTTTTCCATTTTCTTTGGTGTGCTTTAGAGATGAAGGTATTTAATTATGTGCGATAGTCCTTTTTATAGTTTCAAAAACAAAGATTAGTGTTACATTTTTGTAATGTACCTTTGACCTGTACAAAAGCTCTTTGCCATAATTTTGTGAAAATGATTTGGTTAGATTTTTTTTTTTCCATGTAGTTAACTTTATACATCGGTGTCTAAATAGCTGCTTTTTGAAAGTGACTGTTAAAAAAACTTATCGTGTGAAATGATCCATGTAGAATGCTTTGAGTAGCTTTCATTTGATAAAACCTACCGAAGAGTTTGAGCTCCATGTGTTGATATGACTTCCCTGGAAAGTTTTGTTTGTGTAGCTCAAAATCCACTTGTAAATTCTTTATAATCAGACACTTTGAATAAAAATGGAATTGTCAGACGTATCGAGTTGTTTAGCAAAATACTATATTAAGTACAATTTTTTATGAGTTTAGATATTTAAAGGATTTCCTTACTTCATGATTATGATTTTAGAGAAATTAATTCTGATTTGGGTCTTTGAAAGTGTTCGAATTCCGCCATCATTACATCAAAATTAAGGAAAAAAACAAAACCTAACCCAAAACCAATTCTTGAAACAATTTTACTCATAACAAAACCATGTCAGGGAATTATACTGAACTTCATTATCTTTCTGACTGGGGAACTAAGGTATAATACTTTATGCTGCTTTGAAACAACTTGTATAGTGAAATACCACACAAGTAAACTGATACCAGCAACATAATCAACATCCAAACTACTTATTGTAAAACAGCTTTAATATGTCTCTGTAAATTGTATATAATAGCACAGCGAACCATAAAGAACCAACAGCCATGATACAGTCTTTTAATCTGGTTATGGATGCAATTATTCATTCCAGTTGCTTAATGACTGTGTTTTCAGTTTTATTAGTGCAGTTAGGATCTTAACTAGCTGGTTCTAGGGCATTCAGTACTGGTGAAAAAGCATCATCTGTAATTTTCCAATTCTCATTTAAGTTAAGCTTCAGCTTCTTTCAGGACATCGTCTTTCTGTTGGAAGTAGTCTCTGAACCAGGCGATATGCTCCTGTTTCTGTTGAACCGTGAGGTGGTGATTCTTCGCAAGGCCTGTAATTACAAGCTCCATGAAGTGCCTGACTGGACCCTGGCGGGGGAACGATCCCTCAAGGTGCTTCTCCAAAAACACATGCTCATGGAAGGGCACACTAGCCTCATCCTCCAGCCCTAAAAAAAGTTGCATGATGTGCCCAAAAATAAGATTATGTATTGTACAGGATTAAAAACAGGAAGATTATTGCAACCTATTCCTGCATTGGAACTCACCAGCCTCGTTGTTTATTGGATATTGCCAAAGTTTGCCCTCTTTGGTCCACTGGATCATCTCCTCAAAGCCATTCCGAGGCATCTGATTTGTAGCTTGGACAATTTTATTAGCTAGATTAATGTCCCAAATGGTGGGGCCTAACATTCAAAGCAAGGCACAGGACAGAGTAAGTAAATACACTTAGTTTCACTTGAAGATAATCATATGCCAGTTTAGATGTGTTAATGCCATAAGACCTCTCCTTACCCACATCTGACAATGAGTCTTGCTCCGCAACTGCATTAAAGATGTTTAGCCTCTTACTAGTGAAAGGACTCTTCCTTTAAAAACAAAACAATGCACATGGTTAGTAGAACATGTATTGCATTCAAAAATATAATTTCAGGGAAGTGTTTTTTTTTTTTTTTTTTTTTACCTTGTGCGAATTGCATCAAGTTCACTAGTAATACCTCTGTCCTGAGTATATCCCTGTCCGTCATCGTCAAAACGAATCTGGCTGCTAGGCCTGGCATTTGATCTGCCATTCTGCCTTTTTCCAACTTTCATATCAGCAATTATGTCTCTGAAAGAGAAAAAGGACAAAAAAAAGGTTACTACAAAAGTAGTCATGTAACACTTTATGTCCTATTTGACTCTTTCATACATTTGCATGGCAATATCCATACAATATTCAGCAAATGAAATCTTACTTTCAGAAAATCATTTATTTTTAAGCAATTAAAGTTGTGATGTAACATAAGGAGTGACAGATTTTTTTTTTCCTATTGTGATGATTGAAAAAGGAATTTTTTTGACAGATCTATCCAATTTATATAGAGACATGCCACTTCCTATATGCCACTATATAGGGAAAACCCGTAATGCCAAAGCAACAGTCAAGCCAGGAAACATTTAAGCCTATCATCTTGTTCCACTGACACATGCGCACAGTTGATGTCTGTGACAGCGGAGACAAGAACCCTTACATATGTATAGTGAAAATATAACCTGTGGGGAAAAGGCTGTTTTAAACCATATTTTCTTTTTTTATTTAAACTTATTTAGCGATTATTATCATATTTTACTGCTGTTTATATACATGCAGTTTTTATGCCCCAGTGACCAGTGAAAGTGCAGTTCTGACTCTCTGCCCATTCATTTAGATAGGAGCCTTGTCTTGTTAGTCCGAAATAGTTGCTCGGAGGCGTTGCCAAGATGGCGGCCAAGTGGCAGGACTTGCCAAAAAGGACTTTGGTTCTATCCATTGGCTGTCGATAGGTTGGAGGTAGATCTAAAGGCATGATTGCAGTTGATATAAAGGGGCAAAGTTTAAACTGATAAAGGGATTGGAGAAGACCGACGGCAACATGTCACCAGAGAGAAGTCTGTCATTTAATCGGAAGATCAGGTTATGGACAGTTTGATTAAAAATTACAAGCTCTTAAAAAAAAAAGAAGAAAAAGAAACATTATGAATCATACTGGTAAATGAAGAGTTCACAATAGCATTTATTAAAAAAGGATGGGGTGAATTTTCATTTCATTGCAACTTTCAGACAAGTGGCCCTACCCGATGTTCTGTCCATCGGCTCTCCTCTGGGTGTCAGGTATGGCTTCATGTTTCCTCAGCTGCTGAAGGAGCTCTGACTCCGCCTGGCGGCTGTTCGGCAGTGTAGATGCAGCGGCAGAGGCTGCAGCAACCAGTGTTGGATTCAAAGTCTCACTAAAATAAAAGCAAAAACTGAAAAATGCAGTCACTCTCACTTCAGTTGATATTTTTTTTGCTATTCCGAAACTAAAAATATAAAATGTATTAAATATGTAATAACCATAGTTTATGAGTCTTAGTCATATAATTTAGCTCTTTAATATGGAAGTGCTGTTATCACAGGCCTTTTTGTGCCAGCATTACAGTACGCATTTATGAATGCTTGTATGCATTTATAACTCACCGTTGTTGTGAAACCTCAGCTGTTGCATGCTGGAACATGCTTTGTACGCTTTCCATGGGTTTTGGGTCAGGCCTCCCACTGGTTCTTGGAGTTTTGGGGGGTCTTATTTTACGTTTGGTTGTGACCTCCACCTTCATTGCCCCCAGCAGCTCCAAAAGACTCTCCTTCCCAGTTGTTGCCTTGTCAAACTTTTTGCTGTCCTCAGGTTTAACCACAGGTTCAGTCTCTAACTGTGATGTCAACATCGCATTTGAGATGTTATTGCCTTCATTCATTTTTGTGCTCTTCTGTCCATCATTGTTGACCTCAGTATTGGCCTCATTCTCTTCTGGTCTCTTTTCATTGTCTTCTGACAGTGATGTTGAGCTCTCTTTATTTTCACTGAAAAAGATGCTACTGGTTCCCAATGGCCTTGCTCTACCCATGGCCCTAAAATAAGAAAGAAAAAATCTGATGAAATGAGTGCTAACAATAGTTTTTTTTTTTTTTTTTTATTCTGAATTTGAATAACTCAACAAAAACATTTTGGTTAAATCATCAACTAATAAAGCTATAATTAGTAACACAATTAACATGGGAATGGAAAATTGAGCACATTGATCAAGTCTTCTTTTATTTATATCTGGGATATTTCAATTTGAGATTGAGATTTTGAACTGACACAAACATCAATCATCTGATCAGACCGGTCACCTCTCAGTGTCTTAAATCTCTAACTTACCAGATAACAGGGGCAAAACGCTCGTTCTCTTTAAATTTTGTGGATGGTAGTCGTGTATTCTGCGTATGAATTAATCCATTTCGGACCCGATATACATTTAATAATCTTTTATACATGATTGCACCTCTCAGAAGACCTCAATGTCGTCCATGCGCATTTCCCTGTGCAGCACAATCAACTGTCCGGCAGACGCCTCAGACGTATAAAAGTTCCGGGTGTCTTTTTGCGTCCAGTAAAGCAGCTCATTTGCCACTTTTTTCAGTGTTTAAACATTCAGTGATTTTATTTGTTCTAATCAGTCTGTATATCATACACATTGCTACAGGACAACTGAAGCGGATTGCAACAGGAAAGGGGAAGAGTTTATAAAACTGGTCCAAGGAAGGGGTCTGCCGCTGCCTCGGTCTCATCCCTCCAGTGATGGGAAATCTGAGCCATTTATGCGAATCGGTTCTTTAGAACAATTCGTTTCCAAGAAGTGGTTAAAAATGATTCAGTGATTCTTTCACGTCATAAAGTCATTACACCATCACGTTGCTTTTGGCATTCAGGGAGGTATTCCAAAAAGGAGGTTATGTGAATACCCAGGTATGTTTAAGGGTTAGTCATAGTAATTGTTCCAGAGTTCCCTATTTAATGAGACAAATTGGTCGTGCTAGATTGCAAAAATTGTATACCGATTTATATCGATTTATAAAGCAGTTTTTTAAAAAGGCAATGTCTATCTATCTATCTATCTATCTATCTATCTATCTATCTATCTATCTATCTATCTATCTATCTATCTATCTATCTAGCTAGCTAGCTATCCATCTATCCATCCATCCATCCATCCATCCATCCATCCACCCACCCATCCATCCATCCATCCACCCATCCATCCATCCATCCACACGATATTTCCCCTATTACGGGCGTGGCCTTGAAACCACGCAAAACGATTGGACCTGATTAGTGTACATTCCTCAATGACAACAATGCCCGAATTACCTCTAAAATGTATGTACTGTGCCCTAATAATATAAGCTTAAGCTGGTGTGAGTAGATACAGTAGTAGAGATAGACTCACTAGATACCGGTACATTATAGTATTTTCAGTTCCATTCGTTTGTGCTTGTAATAACATGAACATTCGTTCCGCGCCCACAACAGTACCTCAACAGGTTTTCACAGGAACATATTACAAAACACGCATTTTTGGAACCAGTGCACCTCAAGCAAGTTTTTTGATACCTCAATCAACCTAGAGTTCAGGGTATGTTTGACGGTAAGATTTTATCTATCTGGAATACCCCCCCTGGTCGTGACTGAATAGTTATTATGGTTTTGCTCAAACGATTCACGAAAGGATTCGGCTCAATTGAACAATACGAATCAGACATCGCTTTACATACGGATCTCTAACGAGAGGTCATGACTCATCTGATCGCAGATGTGTCAGTTCAGTTTAGTTAACAGTCAGCCAGCATGAGTCAAACCACTTCGCTACATATTTTCGTTTTGAGCGCTTTCGAGAAATAAGGTAGGCTATGCTTGGTGAATTTTTTATTGTGAAATACGATACGTTGTCACAGTTTTACTTATAAGACGTTCAATTTAGTGATCTATATAGTGTTCAGTCAAGGTGATGCAAGAACACGTATGTTTGTCTGTAACAACAAGTCCTTTATTAGTTGTCTCTGGTAACGAACAGTTTTTGATGTTACTTGCGTTGCGTCCCATAAAGACAGTTACACATTTGAGCATAGCATCGGAAAGGCGTGAAGATAACGAACATCGCTGTGGTTAAAGAAAACATGGCTTTGTGTGAGAGTTTTTCAACACCACATGGTCTGTCGTTGTGTCTTGTGACTAGTGACTTGATTTCTCCAGTCGGCGTAGCTACTGAACTTTCTTACTATGAAACTTGAGATTTCGCTCCATTTTGTCTGCCTATGTAACTTTGTTTAATATCTTAGTTCTATCGATTATACTTTAAACGTGCTGCAACAAATCATGAGGGGGGAAGTTACACACTAAACAGTTTGGGATTATGTAGTAGTCTACTTTATAGCCTACAAATTAAAGTAGCCTACATTGTTTAAATGAAAGTTTCAAGTATTCTCATGTTTTCTTTTCTCTGTCTCATCTTTTGCGCATACTTTTGAAATAGGATTTCTTGGAGCACATTTCACCATGGCACCTCATCCAGTGGTTCAGGCAATAATAGACCTCTCTGCTGGAGCTATAGGTAACTTCACATTGCATCATCTCATTTTGGAGGGTCATTCATGAACATTGTCCTGGGCCCTATAATGATAGTGTAGGACACACTTTATTTCTGCTCCACCATCTAGAATGTAAACCCTCTCTTTTGTCAGTCCTTATCTGACCTTTGAGTTGTGTGTTTTTGCTTACCTCTGTGGTTTCGCAGCCTAGACCTATTGTCTCAGCAGTCCCTGCACCACACACACATACACACTCACTGACCAGGGCTGTTTCCCAAAAGCAAAATAAGCCTAGTAGATCGTAGAACCATTGTCACCAATGGTCCCTGCAATCAACTTAGCTTGCGATGCTTTTGAGAAACGCTGCCCTGTTCTGTTCATCTTAGATCTTACTAATAAGAGGGTGAGAAAGTTTGTAATACATGCTACTGTTTGTGGAAGTAAGAAACACATAAGACTTTCATTCATCTTTGGAAATCAAATGAAGATATTTTGGATGAAATCGTAGAGCTTTCTGTTCTTCCCTAGACACCTACGCAACTGACACTTTGACGCTTTAAAAAGTTCATAAAGAGATAGTAAAACTAATCCATATGTATTGAGTGGTTTGGTCCAAATTTTCTGAAGAGACTTGATCACTTTATATGATGACAAGTTTGAATTGAGGCTTTTATTTATTTACATATTAACATTGATCAGCGAACATAAACACGCTTGATAAAAGTTATCTGGCACCATGCCGGATTTCCGGTGTTCAGACATGTCTGCAGAAAAAAAGTCATCAAAATGAACAAATCTTTTCCCGAGTCAACTCGTTCATTTCGTTCCTTGAATGAACCAAATGACATGAAAAAAATTGTTCATTTTGATTAACGAGTTCGATCAGGAGAGTCACAAACGCGCATCACAGAGCAGAGCAAGGGGACCATTTGAGGTCATAAAACTTAAAATGTATCATTTATTTTTTTTAATGAGCGATCGTTTCGCTTGATAAGACCCTTATTCATCGTCTGAAATCGTTTAAAGCCCTTTGAACAGTTTGTATTGTAAATTATCAATACAAGTAAATTATCAGCAAAAGTTTTTTTTAAAAGTGAACTACTCCTTTAAGGTGAGAAAATCATTTATCTTCCTTAGCCTTGAATATTGCCAACTGTCTCGTCCGTCATCTTGCGCGCCCCCTTGACCTTAAAGTACGCTGGTACGATTTGTCTCTAAACTATGCAAAAACCTCTGTGCACGCACAATGATCAAATCACACAACAGCATATCAAGCGGAGTTCGACCAATCATAGCGCTGGGTTCATTCCCCAAATAGCAAGCAGGTATGATTGACAGATGCGTAAGGCCTATCATTAAAAAGACACTGAAAATCGACAGCAATCCCGCTTGATCCCCCTTACACTCCCATGGCCCTCTGTCTGGCTGAGTTCATAAGCGAGGTCAGTACAGTGGTCACGGTACTTCTGACTCCTGAAGGTAAACGGGCTGGGGTCGATGTGGAAAGTGTATTGAGTTAATTTGATTATCACACGTGAGTGATCGCATGGATTATTTTATAATACTCTGTCATTCATGGTCACTCGATAAGAGAAAGACCTCATACAGCCATGCAAATTATCACATGATTTTGTATTGATGAACAATAAATCTAAAAATTAAAATCTCTATGGCTTACTGATTATAAAAGTGCTGTGATTTGTGGATTAATTTGTGAGGTGGTAAACTATCCCTTTAACATTATTTCATTCTGTCATTTTAAACCATGGGATCAAAGTTATAATGCCAATAGTACCAATTAAAAACATTATAGAAATATATTTGTTTGTGTATTGCTTCTTTTTATGCTGTTACAAAGGTAATGTGTGTCCGTCAGTCTATTTTTAATTTTCATTAACAAGAGAAAAACATCTCTCTTTCTCTTCTCCCGCTCCTCTTTCCATTTTAGGGGGCACAGCTTGTGTATTTAGTGGTCAACCTTTGGATACGGCTAAAGTGAAAATGCAGACATTCCCCACTTTGTACAGAGGCTTTGTGCACTGCTTTGTGTCAACATACAGACAGGTGGGCCTTCGAGGGCTGTATCAAGGTACCTCGCCAGCCCTCATGGCCAACATCGCAGAGAACTCTGTGCTCTTCATGTGCTACGGCTTTTGCCAAGAGGTGGTGCGCTACATCTCTGGGCAGGAGAAAGAGGCTGAGCTCAGGCAAGTTCTATCTGTGTGTCACAAACATTTACATTTATGCGTTTTGGCAGCTGCCGTTACGGTACCCAATGCAACTTAGATTGCATTGAAGTTTATCATTTCATGCATTCCCTGGAAATGTAACAATGAATTTGACATTGCTAGTGCCATGCTCTACTCTTTGAGCTACAGGAAAAGTATGTAGTATAGTTGCCCCCCAAAAAATGCATGAAATAAATCAAAATAAATATTTTTTTTGTTTGTTTGTTTTTTTGCTTGAATTGAAAAGTGATGCACAGATGGTTAAGGTGTGTGTTTTTTTTTTTGTTTTTGTTTTTTAATAATTCCTTCTTTGCTATTAAAGTTGTCACTGAGGTGTACATGATGTTCACTTTAAATTTGAGAAGAACTTCTTATATTTTTTCGGATGTTTTGTAATCACTTTTTCATAAAAGGTGTATATTGTGATTGTGATAAGCAATATTGTTCAAAAGTTTGGGGTAAATTATTTTTAAGGGTTTTGAAACCAGTCTCTTATGAACTTCAAGGCTGCATTTATTTGATTAAAAAAACAGTAATATTGTGAAATATTAATATTATTATAATATTTCAAATAGCCTTTAAATAACTTTTCTATTTGACTTTATTATAAAATGTGAAATATTCCTATGATGGCAAAGCTAAATTTTCAGCAGCCTTCAGAAATCATTCTAATATTTTGATTTGATACTCAGTTATTATCCATGTTGGAAACAGTTGTGCTGCTTAATATTTTTTTGAGGATTCATTGACG